GGGGGGGGGGGGGGGGGGGGGGGGGGGTATAGCATAGTGTGGGTGCTGGGGAAGGTGTGATCGCATAGGAGGAGGGGGGTAAACCACAGTGTCGGTACAGGGAAGAGGTGTAGTTCCGTTCGGGTTTGGGTGGGTTTCTGATGATTATTTAAATTCTCATCCCTTCTCTGGTTCACATTCGCAGCTACACGGTGATTACGGTCATTACGGCCATTACGGAAACTAAAATAAAGCCCATATTTGACGGTTATGACCAATGGAAAATTGGATTTTCCGGAAAACGCTATAACACATCAAATCATAAATTTCGTTAAATTTTATTAAATCTCAATGAAATAAAACAAAAACATACATTATTTGATTGAATAATCTGATTCGAATCATCTTTTTCTATTTGTTCATCATCAGTACTTGTTCTTTCATTTGATTCTAATTGTTGTCTATTTTCTGAAGATCGATGATTACTTAAACGTTTTTTCGAAGAATAGAAAGTGTAATAAAAAGAAATTTTCTTGAAAATATAAATCGTAAAGAAATTTTTATACTTGTTCATTTTCTTTTTTTTCATATCGTTGACATCTAAGAAATAAAATAAAATAGAAAATTTTTTCTTCTGGTTCAAACTACTTTTGACATGGAATAGATTTTTCTACATTTTCAATAAGAAATGATTGATTAATATGAAAACCACCTTGATGATATTTATATTCACAGCAAGTTATTAAGTGTCCTTTAATATGTCCATTTATATAATTTTATATCAAAAGGATATTGAGCAAGACGTTGAGATTTAAATGAAAATGTATCTTATTGAATAAAACATCATGTATTAAATCTAATATATATTTATTTATAACTTACCACCTTTTTTTAAATAGCCTTTATAAACAATATTTCTTGGATCATTCGGATTTTGTTTTTGTTTTATTAGAATCTCATCGATTTTAATTGATGATGAAAGATTCTTTTTATAAATCATTGTTACTTGACATGCTTGAGATATATTAGTTTCAGGTGAATAAATATCATTCCTCTAACTTTCGATATAAAACTAATATTGATTATTTTCTCTAATTACTTGTAAATCATTATCAAATACATTCCTATGAAATTTTCTTCTATGCTAAAAAAATACAATTAATTTTGTTAAATTATTCTTTTTCTTAATAAATCAGACCTTTAGAAAAGATCAATTTCGATTATTTTGTAAACGATTAATATTTGAATAAATTGTATTTAAGTATTAAATTAATACAAATAAGATAAGAAAGAATAATATGCTTCATCTTTAGACAATGTGTCATTATATTTAGATAAGAAATCTTTACAGATACATGGAGATTGTTGGAAATTTGATAATCTTAAACAAAACTCAGATCTATTTCAACGAAAAAGAAAAATTTATTTTCGATTTTTTTTACTTTATTAAATTTTCTTGATAAATATCATTTCTTTGTCGTTTATTTCTTGAATAAGATATATATTCACGTTGAAGATTCATCTTTATTTTTATATAAAATACATAAATTTCAAATTGAATTAGGAATATCAGGTTATCTATACATTAATCTTCTTAATAATAATTATTCGATATTGGTTAAATTAAGAATATCTCAAAAGTATACAGACTCGGATGTTGAATATGAATCAGTCGTTATCGTAATGTAAAAATAAAAAAAGAAAATCGTCGATTGGTAAAAAAAACACGGTGTGTATTTCTATATATATATATATATTTAAGATGAGCGAGTTAAAGAAAAAGAAGAGAAAAATAAGTATGCACATATCTGTTGTTCTTTTTTTTAAAAAACATTGTTAATTTAACATTTTTCACAATACATTATATTTACTACAAATAACAAGAATCTTTTTCAATAAAAATATATTTTTAAGTAGGAATTCAAAGAGTAATCATATTAAAAATCTTTAGTGAGTAAAAAACATGATTTATTATTGATGAATACTAACGAATGGCACTTTATTCTATTTTCAAAGTACAAATCTTCAAGTTTTTAACTCAGTCAACATTTTCAATCTATTATTGTTTAGAAGAACTATTTATTCAATAAATATTTTTATATTAATTGAACATTTACTTAAAAAATGTTTTAACTCTCAACTAAAAATTCTTGTATAATTACACTAAGAAAATCTATATTGAAATGTAATTTATAAGTAACAAACTCATCTTCATTTTTGAAAGAAATTCTAAAGGATACTTATTAATAGTTAACATCATATGATAGTATGCCGCATGAAATTTTTCACATGTATAATTTAATATTTATTTTCATTAAACACTCACATCACCCGCATTCACCGTATCTATAATTATATATATATATATGTACATAACTAGAGAATATCTGTTTCTAATTTCTTAGATTAGCGTTAGTATGGGTATCTGTGTATGATTTATATTTGCGTTGAATTATGTAGCTATTTTGCTTTAGTATTGTATGTCTTCGCTAATCAATTTTCTTATTCAATAACAAAATATTGTTTTGTTTTTCTTCCGTTTAATTCTACAATGTTAATTTTCAATCTTCATCAATATATATTCATATTTCAAAATATTCATGAAAAAAATATACAACAAATAGAACATTGCTTTTTTTCAAAAAAGCAATGTTTCAATAGACAAAAAACAGCAACAGAGTATAGATCTAGATATTCAACTAAGTTTATAGAAATTTTTCACATTTTCAACGAGTTGTTCTGCTGCTTGTCGAATATTCAAATTAAATTTATGAGCAATATATTTATAGACTTGTATAACAAATAATGGATGTGTGGCATATACATGTGGACACTTAGAAATAAAATGTTAAATATTATAAATATAAATAATTTCAAAATTTCAATAATTAATTACTTCTTTTATAGAAATATGTGGAGCAACACTTTCTGGTAATATACGACTTATGGGAATTTGCTCAATATTCAATTGCATTTGTTTATTTGAAAATATTTGAAGCGAGCAGCCAAAATATACATTATTCATCTTTGATATCAACATATACAATTCTTCTTCACCATATACAAAATTTCTCCAATGAACTGGATGGTCATTATTTAATTCCTATTTATACAAAAAATATATTAAATTTGCGACGACTCATGAATTCGTTTTTTATAGAAATCTTTTGAATATATTTTTTTCTATTTGTTCAAATATCTTACACTGGTCAGGCATGATAAAGTTGCTATGAAACTTTTACGAGAAGTGACAACAACAGATAATTTATATTCTTTTGCTATACGAAGTTGTGCACTGAATGCTTTTATTTGAATATCATCACTTGGTCGATTTTCACTAATAACAACAGAAATAAATATGCAATAAATTAGTTTGAAGATAGTACGTACATTTCAAAATCGAGACCGATCTCTCCTACACCAACTAAATGTGTATGACGTAAGGCACGTCGCATGCTTAACTCTATACGATAATCAAAGTGATGGGCATATAATGCACTTAAATCTAAATTTCCATATACAACATCATGATCAAAATACCGTGCATATACATTATTCCAATTATCTAAAATATACTTTTACTCAAAGATAAAAAAAAGATAATATTCTTGCCTTCTTGCAAATGATGAGGTCCAAAAAATGACTGAATAACATATTTCATGTCAATACCTTTATTGTGAATATTAATATTATGCTTTATATAATTAGAAATTGATTCATTCGGACAATTCATTCTAGAGAAATATGTAGAATAATATAAACTAAACTAAGAATTAAAGTCATATTTACTTCTCAAAAAGGATATCCATATGACAATATGCATCTGCTATATACAAAACTTCATCACTTTTTTCATTTTCCGACGATAATATATTCAAAATCATATTACAGATCTCCTTTTCTAGGCCAGACCGAGATAAATATTCATTTATTTTAAATATACAACGAGACGCATCACTAAAAAAAATTTTAATAAATCATATTTTATTATTATAAAAAAAAAGGATTTCAATAAACTATATATTCTCATAATAAGAAAAATGTTTTAATTAAAATACACATTATGATTATTTCTATTTATTTTTTTCCAGTATATTGAATGAATGTAGAATATTATCAAGTTCCATGAATAATATTATACGAATATATTCAATCAAAGTTGTTTATGTTATATTTGTTCCTATTAACAATTTTCATTCAACATATTACATTATTATTTCAAACAAATATTATTTATATTCTCATATTAAACAATATCAATTAATATGTTATTCATATTAGATGCATGTATACAATCAATATTATCCTTATTACGCTTAGATTAATCGTAGTAGACAGTACTACATATCTCAAATCGATCTGTAAGTAGAATTCGAGTGACATCATAACTTAATTTTAGGTTTTGTCTATATCTGATATTGAGGATTATAGTTTGTTTGATAACAATCAACTGGAATATAATTTAAATAGAATCTCTCAGAATATTTATCACTTACTAGAAGTTGTTATTGATAGAAATATTTTTTCAAGATTACAATTTGTTGTTAATTGATTTTGTGGTGGTTGGTTACTGATTTCATTGACTATTAAAGATTGTTCATTCAATACAAAAGGTACTGACTCTACGGATGATTCCTGATGCCTAAAAGCGTTGATATAATATTTAGGAAATTTAGATTTTTATTTATTTTAATATACTTCAATTTGGTGATCGTTGCATCATCATCAGCAACATATTCATTGCGAATTACTTCTTCACTATTCGAATATAATTCTTTTCTTTTATTAAAACTATTAGATAAGTAAATTTGAAGGCCTTTACCTCGTGCACACGAGGTAAAGGACGTACGATCTATATATAGTGAAAAAAGCAATCGAATATAGACTCAAAAATACTAATGCAAGCTTACGTGTATTACCATTAACAGCTTTTTTATTACTTGTTTCTTCTACTGTATGTATACTAAAATAAAAATAATCTCTCATATCGGTAAAAAAAGAATATTTCAAAATTTTTACTCAATAGAAATTTCATTTTTATGATCAGAAGATATTTTTTGTTGAGTAGACATATTCAATTTGATAAATTTATAAATATATAACCGGAATGTCAAATATTCAAAACAAAATATATTTTTTTGTACTTGGAAATAAACAGGAAGTTTTTACACGAAACTAAATTGTATGGTTAAACTGAATTGTATGGTTAAACTAAATTGTATGGTTAAAATATTCTTATATTTCCTTTTTTGTTGTTCAACTACTTTGAACGTCTATTATATATAACATAAAATCGGGTATTTTTATGTCTGGCGGTCAATGAATGTACTATAATATACTTGTCCTCTATTTTGGTGTTGTACTATAATTTATTTATCTTCTATACTGTTTTCTGATTCGTTGTGGTCCCGATGAATAAAACTATATTTATTTGAACGAAATTAAATCGTTCAATAAAAAGAAGAAGTAAACTTAAGCTAGCGAAATTGAAATTATTAAAATAGTTTAAGAAATAAAAGAAAACAGGTGAATAAGAGAGTGAAATATGACAATAGTTTACATTAATGTAAACAATAGATTAGTTATTAATAAGATTTTAATTCTATATTTTCATTACTTTAAGAAGAAATCAATGAAGTAGACCAGCTTATTTTTATTGCAAGGGAAGAAAAGAAAATAATTGATTTTGATATTTTATTTTAAAACTATAATAAATAAAGAAATTTACTTGGCACTTATTTTATTTTTAATTCATTAACATTGAAAAATAGATCATTATCTTTCTTAAAGCTAAAAAGGTTTTTTTATAAATACATTGCTGCAGTATGGAGCTGTGCACTGGAATAATCTCTATATTATCTCGAGCGAGGAAACGTTTTTTGAGAACATCCAGCACATATACTTCCAAAAAAAATAGTTTCAATTCTATTTCTCACGTATTTTCAATACAAAAATATATTTTTTAAAACTAACTATATATTATGAAAGCACGTGTAGATTTCTATCGCCTTCAATAGATGTATTTTCATTTGCACTTCTACATCATCAGAAAAAATTGAACAAAATAAAGGCATTTTCAAGTCTAGATTTGCACAAACGTAATGTTTTCATTGCCATCACAACTGTTTCTTTTACTTTTTCCATTACTATATAATGATCTTTTTGATAAAAAAAGAAATTATAGATTTTAGTGAAGCATGAAATTCGCTATCATCCTAGCTACTTATGTAATGTTTGATTCTATTATTTATCTCTTGTTGAAACTTAGTAATATAATTCATGGTAGAGAGTTGAGAAATTTGACACTTGAATAAGTCGAAAGCAGTTAATAGTCAAAATTTACAAGTTATTTGTAATATTTTTCACCTTGTTAAACAATCGTGGAATGCTGCACGACAAGATAATCCATCACGAACTGTTATTATTGTTGCACGCATCGTCTTTCTATTATTCAATCATGTGATCTTATTTGTGTTCCTGGTCCTAACGGACGATTATTGGAAAGTGGTACACATGTAGAACTAATGGCACATGGCACTGCTTATCGTAGATTTGTACTGGATCATATGTGAGAAATAGAATGACTATAAACTTTATTGAAAGTGATACATATGTTATCTCTCAGTCTTTGGCATAAAAATGGATTGACACCTGTTAGTCTTTAATGTATAATATCATTTATTAATTAAGAAAAAATTCATATTAATATTATTAAATGACAAAGATTTATTTTAAAAAATAAAAATAGCTCCATGAATCAAAGCCAAAGTGAATTAGGTCAAATAAAATCTAAAAACTAATTATGAATTAGAATGTTGCATAGTTTTTGGATTTTTACTTATTGTTGAGAAGATCACGAATTTGAATCATATATATTTATTTAATATAATATAGTGATTTATAAATAGAAAAGATCATCAAGTTTAGAAATAAATATTCTATATTCCATCAGATCACTTCATATGTCATTTGTCAAAAATTATATTCTTAATATAGAGTATCACACAACAAATTAAGCGATAGAATTAAAAAGAAAGACTAACTCTAATATTTATATCAATGAGTATTTGCCACGACGGAGAGCGAAATCACTTGAACTTATCACGACGAAACCGCACGATCATCTATTGCACTCTTTTGGTTACCTTGTTGACTAGAATCTTATCCACACTCACAACCTATTCATATTCGTGCTAATTCTTGGAATTGGTCGTCGATATCTTATTTAATCGAGTAAGAAACCAAAATAAAAACCAATATGAATACATGAAAAATATTCATTTCATCTTATACTTTTATTCAAAAGTTTAATTTTACTAATTTTGTCGCTTGAGATTATTCTTAATAGATTTGATACGTACATTAGATTTCTAAAAAGAATGATTCTATTATTTATTTCAGTAGAAATAAATAATTTTTAATTGACATATTCTTCTAAAATTTGATAATATATAAATATTCACTCATCATCAAATAAAGAAAATATAAATAAATAAAGTTAAAAGAAAATATACATCATTTTTAATACATCAGGCACGTTGAAAATAAAGTAAAGATTCTCTATCACATTTCTTATACGATTGTAGAGTACTAAATATGATTATATCAATGAGCCGTTCATAACTGAAACAGTCAATCAGGAAATTTGTTTCACTTCACCCTCGAGTCATATATACCAAGGAGAAATGGAAAGAAAAAATAAAAATAATTTATATGTAGACATGTACTTGAATAGGTATTTCTCTCGAGTGCTTTTAAACTTCTATGAATGAATGAAAACATGGATTGAGAAATTCTCTGTGCTATTGTTTTGTGTGTTTTTCCTATGTAGAGAAGATTTTTGGAGATAGTCACGAAATAATCGGTTATTTTCATACGATTTTAATCAATAATTTTGACAGTAATAATTACACATAAATCATCAATAAATCGATTATTTCGTGACTATTTCGCAAAATTTTCTTTGTATGGATTGTAGTGATGTATTTTAATGAAGACAATGTATTTGTAAAAAAACGTATCTCTTTCTAACTCCATGCGCTTCACACATTTCTGCTTGAAGTCACACAGTTTCTCTTTGATAGGAGAATAGGATACAGCCGTCGAAACGTCTCATTTGTACCATTAAATCATATGTATTATTTGATGTTTTTCATTCATCTTCCCTCATTCGATTCTAATAGAAAAATAAAAGAAGTAAATCATTCTCTTTATTTTTATTATCTAAATGCAATAAGTTTCTTAATAGAAACAAAAGAAATAGAATTAAACCAAGTGTCAGGCAAATATGAAGTCATTATTTTTCTATTATTCTTTCCAAACGGTAATATTTTATTCATTTATTTAAAAATATCTAATATGATATGTTTTTTTTTGTAATATGTTCAAGAAATTCGTTATTTTAAAGATTCATGTTTTATAAGCAATCTATAATTGCATTTCTTTAACATGAATGATAGTATAAATTTTAGTTTTTGTTGAATAAATATATTCCTAACTCGATATTATAATGAAGATTGAAACAATTATTTATGTATAATCGATTGATTTGTAAATAAAATCATATGATTATTCTTTTCGGTTAGGAATGGTTAATTGATATTTATTTTTCATACTCTTCCTTTATTTATCTATTTAAAAACAAATTAGCTTTTGAAATGCACTGCATTTCTTTATCAGACGTTTTTCTACTGTACATAATATTTTACACATTTATATATACATTTTATAAAGAGACATTGTCTTTGTTCTTTTTCCTTGTTAAACGTTTAATATTGATACAGAACAGGTTTCAAACTCGACTTAGTCACTCTTACCCTTTTGTCTTCTGTATCACTATTAAATATTTAACAAAGAACGAACAAAGAAAAAGAACAAAGACAATGTCTCTTTATAATATGTATATATAAATGCGTAGAATGTTATGTACAGTAGAAAAATGTTTGATGAATAAATACAGTGCATTTCGAAAGCTAACTTGTTTTTAAATAAATAAACAAAAGAAGAGTATGGAAAATAAAAATTATATTATTCATGAATATTATACCTAGTCTTATAGAAAATATCATTAGTATTATAAAACTATTTGAAAATGAATGATAATCTTAAAAGAAATTTGTATCTATTATAAATATATATATAAATTTTATTGTAGAAGTGGATTGATGATTTTCATTTCTCATATCTCTTTTAATTATTTTAATCTTTGTTTACCGTTAATAAAACTCTAACTTAAAGCTTCATGCTTGTATAGAGATTAAAAGCAATCAACAATTTATTCTTTTTTTTTGTCTATAAATGCTTTAGAATTAGATTTGAAAGAATTTTTACATAGAATATTTTATTATTTTCATCTATGAGTATTTTTGAATTTACTGCCTCTGAGTCTTTAATGATACTATGTTACTCCTACACAACAGGTAAGAAGAAAATATTATTAATATTTACATTTATAAAAAAAATATCGAAAAGTTTTGCGTTTAACAAAAGGTTGCCTACGGTTTTTGACAATATAAAATGAAACAGATACAATGGATGAAGGACGCGAAGCCACTGAAGCAAAAAGGATCAAATCATTCATCATAGTAATACAAATAAGCCTATATAGACATCAAGTTTCATAATAGTGTATATCTGAAAAGAAAAAGAAGAACATGAGCGATAAAGAGCCGCTATCAAAGAAACATAATAAATCACCTGTTGATAATGATAGCGACAATGAAAACAAAAGGTATGATTTTAAAAAAATATAATATTAATAAACACATAATAACTCATCATTATTTATAGTTTTTCTGAGTGGCGTCAATATTTCAGTGAGCAAAAGACTGATGCTAATAATAAAAAATTAAATGATGAGATCGATGATACTACTAACGATATTCCAGTCAGTATTTTTCAATTGGTAAGTATAATCAAACATAATACATTATAAGATAAACAAATAAAAATACTAAGTCAAAATCATGTTGTTTTTCTCTTTAATATATATATATATATATATATATATATATGAATTTATTCATTTCATTTGATGATAGTTTCGATTTACTGATCGTATTGATATTCTTCTTATAATTATCGCTCTGTGTTTCATGCTGGGAGATGTAGTTTATGCTCTCACAACTATAATTCTTTTTGGTCGAATCACGGGATTATTTGCCACAAAATCATTTTCTGTTGATTGTCATATACTTATTTTTTTACATTCATAAATTAAAAAATATTTGAATATTATGAATACGTCATTAATTGACAAGTACCAAAAATCTATTACTATCGTTACTCTTACAATTTTCTTTTCAATTCATTATTCATATAAGAAGCTTTTGTAACAAGCAATCATGTATCTTGATAGATTAAAAATAGAAAATAGCACTACAATAAACTTATAAAGTATAGAAAAAAAAAGATGTTAGATCAAGTATAGAAATGATATGTTCTTGAAGTTTCTTAATGAAGACTCGCATTATCGTATATATAAAACAAAATGAATCAGACGAAAACACATAACTCGAATAAATAAATCCTGTTATTTTCACTTAGCACAAAAATTAAGAAAGAGAAAAAAGTATACCATATTCTTCTTGAACTTAATGGTCCATATATAGCAATAAGAAGTAATGAGTACTATTGTAGTATATTTGTTTACTCTATGTAAAAGAATGAGTATCAATACAAGAATATATTTCATTGAAAATAATCGAACGTATTGAATGAATTCTCATCTACTAAAATAATTGTCCTTTTTCATTAACAATGTAGGTGAAAAGGCTTAGTAATAAAAATGCTAGACTACTAACTTTATTCTTATTCTTTTTTTTATCTATGAACTACTTTTATAAAAGAAATGGCACGACGAAAATTTAGAAGTTGTTAAATGTGAAACTATTATACGAATAAGAAAAAAAATGAATAATAATAAAATGAAACTGCTAATCTCTATTGAACAAAATGTATCAAACTTGTCTATATATTTGCTTTTCACGTTTCTCTTGTCAGGCAGAACATTAGCAAGGAAAATTTTAGTGTGACATTGGTGTTGTTAGACATTTTTAAGTAACTATCAATATCATTGACGGATAATATATTGAGCGGAGATAGAATACAAATATAAATCTTAAATGACAGCTGATGATGCAAACTACAGAGAGGACATTTTATTCTCTACTATTTTTAGAAATAACAAGTTGAATCAGTTCAAATTTTCTATTGTATACAAGTGTAAAGCTATAATTAGTTGTAAAAAACATTGGAGTAAGAAGATGATGGATTTCTCATTACATAAGTTTCGCATCAAAATATATAAAACAAATTTTAACAGTAAAATGAATATAATTAACAAAGTCATAGAATATTTTTTTAATTAAAGAGAATATTATATATTCATCTGATTTTAGGGGATTTAGACAAATATACACAATAAATGATAGAATAAATATGACCAATAAATTATCAACATAAGTGATATATATATATATATAATGATTTGAATAAAGAGACAATTTCATAAGAAAAAAAACATAGTGAATTGCAAGTGTCTATTCATATTCATTGTATGTCTCTTCAATATCATCATCTTCTCTTCGACAATCGCCCTGGTTCTGCTGCTGCAGTTGATATTTATGTGAGGCCTATAAAAAATCATAAAGATAGCATATAAAATTCAGAGAGATGAAATATTCATCTTACCATTATATGAGTCCATTCAAATAGGCTACTAGTTGGCGGTGGAATATTCGATTTAACAGCTAGATAAGGATTATCTGGAAAGATTTGTGTCTCGGAACAATTTCGTAGATGAAATATAAGACAATAAAAAATATTGGAATAAGGCCATGTGATAGATCGTAGTGCAGCTTTAAGTTTTGTAAAATGTGCAAACAATTGCTAACAGACTTGAGTGTTCTGACCATCGAAAAATGGTCGATTATCTGGATGAGAACATGACAAAACTGTTTTACATTCAGGTCGGGTGTGGTTTCTGCGATGAAACCGATCTATACAATATTTTTTTTGTAACAATTCATCAACATAAGGTGATGGCATGATAGATACACAATATTGGTTTTTTAAATATGCAAGGAAAGTACATGCTGAATCATAAGCAACTGCTTGTGGTAATATTCCACCGAGATGAAGAAACCTTAATAAGTGATAAGTATTACGACGCATACCTTCAGAACGAATACTTTCATTCCATCCAATAATAACATTACAATTGGATACAATAGCCATAAATCCTGCAGTGCGACGTTTGTGTTGTGTATCATCTTCATCGCGATGAACGGTACATTGATCAGTGTCCTCGAACTCATCAGAGTTACGTTCGAGTTCATTGGCTTTAGTAATTGTTGAGTTTTCTATAATATTTGGTTCTAAGCCATATTTATAATGATCTGCACAATAGTGCTTGCATTTATTTTTATTAATAGCTTTAATTAGAAGAATACATGCTAACAAAGTATGCAAAAGAAACTAATACACGTACTCGATATATTTTTCAAAAGACTTGATGTAGAACGAAGTGGAGGACGAGGGCAGCCGACAGCCACAGGGTCCATTTCTAGTACAGATTCATCACAAGATGACGTATATGCACAGACTAAACGATGTGCTTTCATGTGTGTATCAAACACAAAGTTAAGCATACAGGTATCTTTAGCTTGACACTGACAACCTTCGACTTGTCCATGACGTGACCAAAATTTTATGAATGTCTCATAAAAAAAATTAGCATTAGCCTCAAAATACATATTATGAGACAATCGTTGAATAATGTCTGGAATTTGAATTGTATGTAAATTTGTCATAAAAAAAAGATATCGGCATATTTCAAACCATATCCAAGTCTAAAATTAAAACAAGCAGAAAAACGAAAATGAAGATCTATTTACCTACAATTTTATATAGATACTCACTGCAGCAAAATATTTTGAATGTATTTTATTTTTTAAAGGCAATTGATTATTAAAATTTCGATTTTGATCAATATCTGCATTGGTTGCATTAGTATATGATAGAAAATTTGATGCGGCTCCATGAAGAAGATTAGTAAATGCAACAAGTAGTGAACGTTCATAGATTAAACGATCAAATAAATGAATAAATTCTTGTTTAAAAATTGCATCAGGTATAAGTAATCGCTCACGAGTTCGTCGATTACGTATATATCCATATTTATAAATCATATCACAGCATTCATTTTTATATAACACACCGTTGTATATATCATTTCGACCGATAATATTGCAAATTTCATCAAATTTTGGTTCTCCTAATATACCTTGACATATGATACAAATTTTTGATATTGGAAGCAACTTATAAATTCTAAAACGATGTGGTTGTAATTCGAATCTGCACTGTAATTTTTCAATTGCTGATAATAAACGTTCATTCTCGTTGCTAAGTAACACTTGGTCAACTAATTCTGGTATACGACTAATCGACATTATTTTTGGCCAAATATTAGCTTTATAGTCACTATTAGTCGTTTCATTAATAATAGCCAAAATGGTTTGTTCTCTTTTAAAATAATTATCGACAATATTCATTGGATACAGTCGAATAAGACGTAAGAATAAAGCAACATGGGAAGGTGGAATATATTCAAAAAGATCCAATAAAAAATTTGTATTAGACATATATATAAGCAGTAGTGGTGCACAATCTGGAATCTAAATATATTATATTCGCTATTAGAATCAAAGTAAATGATTAAGAATATATTTAGTTCATTAAACTGTAAGATTATCTACTCTTTATTTTTCATACAAAGAAAACAAAGCTAGAAAATATATGCGAAAAAGGTTACAAGAAATAATAAATGATAAACGTAACGCTACAGTAATAATAATATGAATTAAATTTTACTAAAAAGAAGAGAAGAAAACAAAAATGTTCAAGTATTGCTAAATTAATATTCATAAGACACTTCTTGCATATGAAAGAGAAAAATGTGCAACTTCATATACATTTTAAACTATATACACATGAATATAAGAAAAATAAAAACAAATGGATAAACGTGATCAAGTTTTGGCAATATCTATAGAAGAGGAATAGATACAGAAAATTTCAAAACAGAACATAATATATTAAACACACATGATTATGAATATAAAAAAAGATATTACTTGAACGTATTAACATTATTTTGATTATTGATTGTTAATTGTCATCGGCAAATCTTTTTGGTTTTCGTTTCCGTTTTGGTGACGGTTCATCACCAGGTGCTTGTTGTCGTTTAGCACCTAGTCGTCTTAATTCTTTGTTTGTTCGCTGTGAAGCAGTCATTGTGGATCGTGGCCGATCGAGTAAATCTCGAACTAGATCAAGAAAAATTTTGATATAGAATAATCAGAAATATATAAAAAGAAATATTGTCACCATCATCAGATGATACTGAAGCTACAGTAACCATAGGCAAACTCATGTTAGTATCAGGACAAATGATCTTGTTTTGATAATATTCACTAAAATAGCCTGCTTTGATTTTGTCATACCACTCACGATTCAATAACCACTTGTTATGTACTGTGTTAAACATATTATTAATAATAGAAGCTGGTGTAGATGCATTTTCACCATTAAGAACTTTTCCCACATAGTCATCAAATGTAATACCAACTTTTTCTCGAAGTTTCACTTCAAACGATGCTGTATTAGATGCAGATTGAGAATTAGGAAACAATTTCACATATCCAATTTCATATTTAGTTATTTTTCTCGTTGGAATGCTTGATAAAAATAAATCATCGATTTGCGTGATGAGACCATGTTGTTATAAATATCCAATTACAATATTCTATGTTTCAGCATTATTATATATACGAGTAGCATCTGTTTTTGTAAATGCAATAAATGGTTTGAGCATAAGCCGCTTTGATAATGTAATAATATCTAATTTCAGAAAGCAAAAAAAGATTACATAGTACAATATGATATCAATATAACTCACCAAATGTTTTAGATGGCTGAATATTCGTTTCATTAGAAGTTTTGTTTGAATCATCTGATGTTGTTGTATACGCAGATGGCATTGTTTCATTATCCGATGATACTTGAGAATTAGAATCTAGTCGAGAATGATATACAAACTAGAAAAATTCCTCATTTTCCTTACCGACGTCCATAGCACTAGTTGAAGTAGTTTTATATCCATTATCATCATTATTTTCAACGATTATTGACGAAGATAATTTACAGGATAGTTTCTAGATAGCATTATCATTTAATTTTATATATTTAGTTAAAAAAAACTAAACCTGATATGGATGTTGCTGATTATGGAAGCTTTCATCAGAATTATTGATATTCAAAGAATCACTTATTGGATAATCATATTCAATAGAACTAAAAGCTAAATAAAATAAGAGCAATATAAGTTTTCTTTCAAGCATATTCAAAATACAATCGATCGTTTTGTTGTTATCGATCTTATCAGAAGTCGAGTTTTCACAAATAAATGTGCTACTTGACATGAGTTGTGCGAAGCTATCAACGTTGATTGACGACATATCTGAAATATGATTGAAAGTAATAATAAAATTAAACACAAGATATTTGCCTTGTTGTTTATCAGCACCGTTACACTGTTGGATAACGCTCACATCATTGAGATTCATATTCACTTCGTTTACACTACTTTCCACATCTACATTAAGCAAAATGTACCTGCTTTTTCTATGAGAAAACAAAATCTTACTGTCTTTTAATTGTTCCAATACCTTTATACAGTCATCTATGCTTTGGTTTTCAATATTCGATTCCAAAACAATTGTATTAGCTTTAATGAAAAAGCGTGGAAATAAATATTAATAAGATGTTAAGAGTATCACAAAGCTTACCTTTTTCGTTGAATAAACCATGACTTTTAAGTATACTTATTTCGTAAGTTTCATTTGAAGACATATTCTTGGAAATTGACGACGGGGGTAGCTTCGTTTGAAGTTGTTCAACAACATCAACATGTAATAAAGATATATCCATTACATCAGGTTGCGATAGATCCATTACATCAGGTTGCGATAGATCCATTACATCAGGTTGAGATAGATCCATTACAAGTGTATCAGTCGTGTTAATGTAATGATGATTGTCGACCATTGAAGACTTAGTACATATCAATAAATCATTTTTTCCATTAGTTGGTCGAATACAAATTTTTTTTAATTGCTTCATAACATCATCGTCAGTATTGAAATTAAGAATGTGTTCTGATGCCAATGAAAATGTATTGGAATTAAAATCAATACCAATTTGGGCACTATGTAAACCAGGTTTCAATATTTCCTGGGCAACGGGATCATCGGCGTCGCCCAAACGATGAATAATTGAAATATAATCAACTAACTGAGAACTGATATAATCAATTGCTGGTTTATCAATCTTCCCTGCTAATTCAGGTGTTGGTAATAAACATTGTTTCCATAACTTTTCATATTCATTAATATTCAAGTTTAATTTAATAAGTGCTGTATGTGCTAAATTACTTCGTTTAATTTGATTAGGTGTTGCCATCGCATAACTTGAACGAGTTCCTTTGATGAATCGAAATTTATTAGGAGATCGATATATCAATTCATTATCGATTAAATATTCAATCGCTGTTACCAAACGATCCTTATCATTATGAAATTGTCGATATGAATTGAATGTAGATGTAGAAAAAAAAACGAATTTTGATAATATTATAGTAAGAATGTCCCGATTTGCAAAATCAACCTTTTCAAGTGTTGGTTGTGCTTTTTCTTGAGTTTTCTCTTGTACACTAAAACTTTCCAATAAATAAGGAAACTTAAAAACAATATGTATCAAAAATACCTTTTCAACACACGACATGGTATCGGAGAGGTATTGAATTTCTCTAGAATTGATGATAGATCAAACAATTGTCGTGATACATAATCAACATGACCAAAAAATATATCACCCATAAGAGCTGTATCTTTTTCAATAACTAAGATTTTCGTGCCATCCTCTTTACGTAAGTTTGATGGAAACATTTGATCCATAACATTTTTAACAGCTTCAATAAAAGAATCAGAGACACGATATGGTAGTTCCACGGTTTCTGATATTTCAATAAATTGATAAACATCATCGTGCCATAAAATATTCATAATTAATCGGAAACGAGCAAAATTACAAATAAAACTATGAAAGAAAATATTATTACACCAATATTATATAGATAAATTTACCGAGGAATTTTAGCCGAATTTTTGAAACTGATGATAGCTTCATGTTCTTGTTGTTCTGTTTCTGTTGCTTCTTCCCATTGTTGGTAAACACGATTAAACATGTAATAGTGAGCACTTTTACTGTGTTCATATGAAGCATCGTCTTCAGGTTCTTCAAGCTCAATTTCAATTTTTGATGATAAGTAATGGTATTGACGCTTAGAAGTTGGTCGTAAACGATTCCATTTCTCTTCAACGTCCGGATTATATACATCTTTAAGAAAATATAAGCAAGCTTTATGAAGAAATAAAATATGACATTTACTTGATTTTTTCTTTTGAGATTTATCATATACATTTTGTCGTGCAACATATTCAACTTTTCCAAGTAAAAAAGACACTGTATAGACATGTTGCAACGATGGCACCATATTAGATACCACACCATTCGTACCAGAATTAGTTTTAATAGCTTTCATTACAGGACATGAATAATGAGTAAATCTATTGTGAGCACCACTAATACCATTTGCTCTGAAATTTACAAAAATTAAGAAAATAACGAAATCTATTCAACCGTTACTCACTCATAATGTTGTTGTGATACACGAGCATATGGATCACCAACACTTGCACCAATAATAGAGGCTCGTCTTCCGTCCGGAATATTGTACGATGTAGAAAGAGTTGCTCGATTCTGTTGTTTAGTTCCATCGAACATTTGAATAAGCATATTCACATTTTCTGAAAAACGAGGATCATTATATTGATTACCATATGCACCTAAATTCGAAAGTAATGTGTCGCATTCTGTGGAACATAATAAACGATTGCCATATAATAAACTACGAAACACTTGAAGTGCTGTCGACTATAATAGCGAAAAACATAAACAAAAAAGAAATTTAATATGCATCTTACATTTGAAACAATAAATGGTTGTTCAAATAATAAATCTATACTTTTATTTGGATGTTGAATATACTCTTGTTTGATATCCATTTGTGATAAAGTTCGACCTAGGGCATCCATATGAGGAGTTAAGGCCGACGACTTGCCACTACCTTAATGATAAATAATATGCAACTTAAAACAAGATATTATGTTACTTTAGATACGCTTACCTGATGTACCAATAATGTGTCCAAACATATTTGTACCATCAGAATTACCATTATTAACATAATGATAATAATATGAGTTGCTATTAATTGCAGACAAATAATGTAACAAAATATACAAATTTAAACCTTTATCCACATTGGTATCGGATAACCAAGACATAAGTGTAGCCTTTTCAAATGGTGTTAATTTTAATAATTTCTCACACGGATCGAATATTTCATTATGGTTACATAAACGTGTTCG